CACCTACACACACACAAAAAATAAATAAATAAATAAATAAATAAATAAATAAATAAATAAATAAATAAATAAATAAAAATAAAGTGTGGAGGGGAGATAGAGACTCTAGCCTAGGTTGACCTATACCTCACTGTGTAGCCCAGGCTAGTCTCAAACTCAAGTCCTCCAGTCTTTCTGCTTCCACCTCCCAAGTGCTGGGATTAGAGGTGTGAACCCCTACACTGACTTAAAAATAAGCTTTCTTATTGTCAGGAGGAGATAAGAGCATAGCAGAGTGTCACAAGGCTCCACATAGGAACCTGAAGAGGCCATGGGTCACCCCAAACCCCTCACCATCCTCAAGTGTTGAACCCAATCCAGTGACAATATGGCCCTGTGATCCCCTAGTTTCTCATAACCAGCCCCAGGCTTATGGGCAAGTTCTAGTTCTGTGACTCTGGGCTTCTTCCTGGTTCTGAAGCTCATAGAGGACTCCCAGTGACATTTCCCTCTACTCACCGTGGAGATGGCAAACAGAGAGTTATCAAAGGACATGTCTGAAACAGAGAAAGCAGGGTCAGCACAGGGTGGCCCGCTGCCTTGCACCCACCTGCTCCTGTCCCACAGCCTCGACATCCAGAATCCACCCTGCAGAAGGAGTTGGGGTTCATCCTCCAGTATCCTCTCCTGCTCCTTTCCAGCCACCCCAGGGTGAGTTGTGAACATTCAGAGGGAAGGCACAGGTCTCACTGTGTAGAACAGGCTGGGTGGGCCAGTGATACAGCTCAGCAGGTCAAGGCCCTTACAGCCAAGTTTGTTGACTTGTTTCAATGCCCAGGACCCCTTGGTAGAAGGAAGAAATGATCCCTGCAAGTTGTCCTCTGACCTCCTCACATGCACTGTGGCATGCCGGCTCCCGCACACACATAAATCATGGACAAGTCGATCGATAGACAAACACTGCTGATCTCTTACGTGTGCTGATAGCTTGGGTGATGTGGAAGTATAGTACAGAGCCGGAGTGGGGATCAGGGAAGGTTTCCTGGAGGGGGTGGCTTATACATTGAAGCTAGAGAGAGAGTTCTAGGCAGTGGGTAGAGCCAGTGTAGAGGCTGGAGACAGAAACAGAAAGTGGTAACCCAGCAGAAAGAATGGGGACAGTGTTTGGACCTCAAGAGCAACAAGAGGCCACAGAAAGGGTCCAAGTAGCAACAGGATTTCGAAGCTTACTTCACCCAGGGAAGCATCGAGGAGCCGGAGGACATAACAGACCTGTGTTGGTGAAGTTGACCTGAGCCCAGCAGGAGTCACGCTCTCTGCAAAGGGATTCAGAAGAAAGGATGCCCCATGAAATAGGACACTTGTTCAAGAACATCCCCCCAGCCACACCTGCTAGGGCTTGCGCTTACCACTTGCTCATCCCCTGCCCACAGCAAATACCTGCACGCTCATTTCCAGTCATTACACTAAGTGACAGCTCTCTGGCTATTAGTACCCAGGGACAACTCCAGGGCGTCTAACATGGCACAGTGGAGAATGCCACTGCAAATACCTAGGTTTCTGGGACAGTATTGGGGCAGCCAGCAGTGAGTTGGAGGTAAGGCAGCTGGGTTGCCTGGCCCCATGTGACTGGACTCCACGCCTCAGTATTCACATCTGGAAAATGGGGTTCATCTGGACTTCTGGGAGGAAGTGATGAGCATTGGTTTTAGAACATCCTGACACATAGCAATGCTCAATAAATAATTCATGTTCCATGCATTTATCAGTCCTCCCACCAGAGAACACCTTCGGGGATGAAGGTCTGCCCAGCATCTGCCCAGCCTCAGAGACACCCTGGAGGGACTCACCTTTGCTTCTGTAAGTTTTTTATTTTAGCTGGAAGAAAGATGAACAAGTATTGGTTAGATTATTCTGGATCTGGTAGCAGCTGAGAAATGCCTACACCCATAAAACCAAAAGCTCCCTTGACCCCTGTGGAACCCAGCTTTGCCTCATCCACATAGATCTGCTACTAAGTACAAAAGCTGCTATAAACAGGCCTTTCTCAGTTTTGTTTTTTTGCGGTAGTTTTGTTTTCTAGGCAAGGTTTCCCATGTAGCCCTGGTTGTTCTGGAACTCACTATGTAGATTAGACTGTAGGTACAGATCTGCCTGCTGAGTGCAGGGATTAAAAGGTGGTACCAACATGCCCACCTTCACTTAGTTTTCTAAAACAGTCCCGTATAGCTCAGGCTAACCTGAACTCACCATGTAGCCAAGGCTGGCTTTGAACTCCTGGTCCTCCTACTTCTACCAGCTAAATGCTAGAATTATGGGTGTGTGGCATCACCCTTGATCTGTTTCCTTGAGACGGGGTCTAGCCAGGGTTGGTCTCTAAACCACAATCCTCCTCCACAGCCTTTGAGTTCTGGAATTACAGGTGTGTACTACCACGTCACCCCATACATTTTAGGTGGGTTTTTCTTCTTAACCTTTATTTACTCTGTGTGTGCATGTTCTTGTATGGGTGTGGGTACACACCAGAGGGCATGTGCAGAGGGTAGAGGAGATCCTGTGGAGGCAGCTGCCCTGCCACCAGCCCCAGGGATGGAACTTGTGTAGGTATGCTTGGCAAGCATCTTTGTCTGCTTAGCGATCTTACTGCCCTTATTTATTTTTGTACTTGACTTACGAGAAATGTATGTTCATTTAAAAAACAAGAACTCCAAGTTACCAGTGTGGTGGCTCACTGCTGTAATCCCTGCAAACTGAAAGCAGAGGCAGGAGGATTACCTACATTTCAAGGCCAACCTGATCTATATGGGAGATGGCAGGTCTTCAGACCAGCCTGGGCTCTGAAGTGAAATCCAAACAAACAAAATCTTCAAAATTGTGTAAACATGTAAAATTGTTTTTCTTAAAAACTATGAATTTCAGGCTGGGTTTTAGGTAGTTGCACAGGCCTTTAATCCCAGCACACCAGAGGCAGATAGATCTCTGTGAGTTCCAGGCCAGCCTGGTCTACACAGAGAAACCCTGTGGGGGGTGGGGATTGAACCCTGGGCCTCATGCACATGAGACAAGCACTCCACACTGAGCTAAGCCTTAGCAACCTTAGGATGACAGCATGACCGCAACCACTATATTCCCACTTACTCAGCAAGTGGTGCCACCTACAAGTTCCAGGACAGCCAGGGCTACACAGAGAAACTGTCTCAACAAAACAAAACAAAAACATGAATATCCTGTTAGACAATTTCCAACACAAGCCTGTGGCCCTAGCATTAGAGAGGTGGAGGCACCTCTCAGCTATTAAGGCCACCCTCAGCTATTAAGCAAGTTTGAGGCCAGCCTGGCTATGTGATACCTGTCAAAAGTGGGGGTGAAGGTTAGAGTGGGAGTGTGACCTCCACACACCTCCCCCATAATGAAAAGTAAACTTTGTTTAGAAAGAAGTCTCCATTGTTGCCAGGAGCTGAGGGTGAAGTGAACAGAGCCACTGCCTAATGAGTCGAGTCCAGAGCAGTAGTTCTTAACCTATGGGTTATGACCCCTCAACAAACCTCTATCTCCAGAAATACCTAGACTACAATTCATAACAGTAGCAAAATTACAGTTATGAAGTAGCAATGAAAATAATTTTATGGTTGGGGGTCACCACAACATGAGGAACTGTATTAAAGGGTCACAGCATTAAGAAGGGTGAGAACCACTGGTTTAGAGGATGAAAGTTCTAGAAATTGGAGGGAGTGCTTGAACACAAATGGGACTATGCTTTTGTTTCTGAGACAGCACCTCACATAGCCCAGGTTAGCCTGGAACTTGCTATATAGTGAGGCTGACACTGAAGTCTTGATCCTCTGCCTTCAGTTAGTAAGAGCTGGGATTACAGGTGTGCCCACGGTGCCTTTTATGCAAGAGACTTGAACCACCATCGATCTTGATGCCTCAGAGGGTGGTCCAGAAACAGGATAGTACCCTTGAGTGCCCAGGGGTCCCATAGGTCTGTCTCCCCTTCCTCCCCTGTCACCTCCCTTCTGCTGGTGACCTGCTGCTGAATTCTGGTGAAAGAATTCCCCAGACTGACTGTCTCCGTGCTCCTGAAAACATGGATGAAAAGAAGCAGTCCTGGGGAGGGGCAGAGATGGCTCCAGCTAAGAGCACTGGCTGCTTTTCCAGAGACCCCAGGCTCAGTTCCAGCTACATGTAGGAGGCACAGAAGTCCTCGTGCTCACAGATGAGCACAAGGGGAACCTGGACTGTTACACACACACACACACACACACACACACACACACACACACAC